TGCTATAATCATGGCATCGACGTTTACGGTTAACGGCATTTGTTGCTCAAAATATGCTGCTCAATGATCTCTATTTGGATTTGTTGCTTGGTTAGCTTAAAAATTATGTTTTACACGTTTTGTTTTGTTTCTTTTTTTTTTTTGTATTTTTTATTTTTTTTTTTCGGTATTCTGTTTTACACACACAACGAAGATTGAGGGAGAAATACGTTTAATTTATGTATTTTGTTTAGGTTTGTATTTGAAACTATTATGCATTATTTATATTTCAATTGCTTTCGCATTTTGTGGATTAAGTTTACATATATTTTATGCGCACCAATTCATTATCCGTATTGTATTATCCATTATCCAAGAACTATTTTGATATTATTCGCTAGCTTACAAGCTTCGATCAAATATTCCGATCTTAAGTTTCTGACAATCGTTTCTTTAAAAAAACTTGTTTGGCTGATATGAGAACTGAAAAGATTTATTCGAAGTGAACCGAGAAATTTTCGTATCAAGATAGATCGAAAGTCTTGTAAGCTAGTGTACTTAATAAAAATATATTCATTTTCAGTTTAACTGATATATTCATACCCACATTTGTGTAAGTTTTTTTTTATTATTTATTTTTGTTTTTATGCCTTTGATAAGATTGTATCAATAAGAGAAAAAATATGGGATTTGCATAGTCTGGATGGGCATGGAAATATATTCGGAAAGAGTCTTGCGATCAATGCGACGATAATGAGTTATATTCAATTTATAGATATTAGCTCGATGCTTCGTACGCTATAATTTGTCGAGTTTTCTTTTTCTTTTTGTTTTCCATTTCTTTTCTTTTTATAATATCACAGATTGCTCGAGATTTGTATGCTTAAAAAAATAAATGATTTTTAGGCAATCTCAAACATAAACTAAAACTGATACTTAGAATAAATTAAATATAGTTATGTCTGAATTTGGTGTGGATATCAGATATTTGCTACTTAATATGTATGCATCAATCGGGTATATATAATAATGAAATATAATGGCAATGATATTTTTGGTACATAATAATGAATGTGGTGTGGCTGGGTAT